TACATTGATGATTATTACATACAGAGGCGTTGGATAATTTAAAGTTGCAAAGGTAGGAGGTCTGAGGTATGAGGTCTGAGGTCTGAGGTCTGAGGTCTGAGGTCTGAGAGGCTCAGGGGTTTCAGAGGTCGAAGAGGCTCAAAGGATAGAAGGGGACATGGGAGGAGTGAGGCCCTGCCTTCCGGATGAGGAGGGACTTCCTTCTTATAAGGCTTGAAGGGAATCTTTTGGGCTCAGATGGAACAGCTGGCAACGCCTAGTGGGCGAGAGAGGACAAAAGAGAGAGAGGGTGTCGACAGAATACGACAAAGGAGAGAGGACAGAGTGTCGGCAGGATGCGACAAAAGAGAGAGAGGACAAAATGTCGGTAGAAGGCGACAGAGAAGAGAGAGGTGCTAGTGGACAAAACTACGAGCATAGGGGGATGCTCTTTGTACAAAAAGACAAAAACAAAAAAGTAAAAGCATCTATGCACAGTGGCTCTTTTGGCCTTATTACAATCGGAATACAGTGTTTGGTGGGACCCTTGTTTGTCCCATATGATGTCTCGCTATTGTTGCTTATTGCTTCTGGATGGTGATGTCATGGATGATGAATTCATGGTCTTTGGCTGAATTCGTCGAGATCATCTTCTTCCGGATCTGTCTCTTCTGGATCTGTTTCTTCTGGATCCTTCTGGCTGAGTTGGAGGTACCTATTGGTGTGCAGTGGAGAAGACTGAACTGTTTCTTCGGAAGATGTAGGTTTTCTTCCTGCTTCCGCAAAGATTTCTTTCATCTGTTTCTCCAGCTCTTCCTTAGAGGCATGTGGGTTGGTTTGAAGCATATTTCGAAGGTAGGTTGGAATATCACCCAATACTTCTAATGATTTGGGGAAAATTTATTAATTAATTTTCTTTTGGACTTTTTATAATATTCCTGATCCTTATCCTTATTTTTTCTCTTGGTTTTATATTTTTCTTTTTTGTATTTTTTCTTCTTTTTTTTGATATAATCAGGCATGTTTTTTCTATCTAAGTAATAGCCAAATTGCTCACAGAAATCTCCAAGTTCTTTTTTCTTGGTGAGCTTTTGTTTATCTATTTCTCTTTTTAATTTCATATCGGTGCATAGGGCTAAACCTTCTGCACATATTTCTGCGGAGAGTTCTCCGAGAGTATATGATGAATATACTATTATTCCATTATGTTTTTTGCGAAGTCTTTCTTTGACTTTTTCTGCAAATAGATATGGAAGATCAGCTATAAATTTTTCCTTCCAATGGTCTAGCTGACAGTCTTCTCGTATTAATAGCCTTGAAAAGAATACATCTTTATACCATTTATAATGAGATAAGGTAGGACAGCGTAAGTTAGATAGCAAATCCTCTGATCTTGCTGCTAGCAATGAGGTACTGCCTACAAAATGTAAAGTTATTGTATATATCAAGGTGTTGACAGCGTCACTTTCTGTATATATAACTTCTTGATTTTGTTCATTTCTTCATGTCCATTGTCTAGTATTATTCAAAATTCTTTGTTTGGTATCATCATACACATAGAAATCCCACCATCCCCTTAAGGAAGAGCTGGAGAAACAGACATATTCCAACCTACCTTCGAAATATGCTTCAAACCAACCCACATGCCTCTAAGGAAGAGCTGGAGAAACAGATGAAAGAAATCTTTGCGGAAGCAGGAAGAAAACCTACATCTTCCGAAGAAACAGTTCAGTCTTCTCCACTGCACACCAATAGGTACCTCCAACTCAGCCAGAAGGATCCAGAAGAAACAGATGCAGAAGAGACAGATCCGGAAGAAGATGATCCCGACGAATTCAGCCAAAGACCATGAATTCATCATCCATGACATCACCATCCAGAAGCAATAAGCAACAATAGCGAGACATCATATGGGACAAACAAGGGTCCCACCAAACACTGTATTCCGATTGTAATAAGGCCAAAAGAGCCACTGTGCATAGATGCTTTTACTTTTTTGTTTTTGTCTTTTTGTACAAAGAGCATCCCCCTATGCTCGTAGTTTTGTCCACTAGCACCTCTCTCTTCTTTGTCGCCTTCTGCCGACATTTTGTCCTCTCTCTCTTTTGTCGCATCCTGCCGACACTCTGTCCTCTCTCCTTTGTCGTATTCTGTCGACACCCTCTCTCTCTTTTGTCCTCTCTCGCCCACTAGGCGTTGCCAGCTGTTCCATCTGAGCCCAAAAGATTCCCTTCAAGACTTATAAGAAGGAAGTCCCTCCTCATCCGGAAGGCAGGGCCTCACTCCTCCCATGTCCTCTTCTATCCTTTGAGCCTCTTCGACCTCTAAAACCCCTGAGCCTCTCAGACCTCAGACCTCAGACCTCAGACCTCAGACCTCATACCTCAGACCTCCTACCTCTGCAACTTTACCTTAGAACTCTATAACCCTGTTACCTCGATCAAACCTCTGCAACCATACCTCTGCACTCGAAACCTCTGCACCTGTACCTCTGTACCCAGATCTGAACTCATACTCATCACAGCAATATCTCTGAAGCTATCCTTCGCCCTCATAGCTC